TGTGTGTGTGTGTGTGCGCGGTAAAACATCAAACCAATGTGATAGGATCTGGACAATAAAGATGTACCTTATAAGGACATATAAGTACTGAAGATTTGAAGTGTTACAAGAGAGTGACAAACACAAAAAAGAAGGAGGACAGATAAGGACGATGGATGTTTGATAGTAAAGAAGAAGCAAACCACAACAGATCACCCGCCAACCACCCACCTAAGTTAGTTTATTCAGTGTTTAAGGCCATTGACCCATATCACATTATATAAAATACATGTGTACTCAGTTGTTAAATAAAGTTTCCATAATGGAAATGTATAGGTTGTGCACCTAATATCTCTTATTATAATTATCATTTCAAACATTGCATATTTCCAGTATTCCATAGTTCAAATATTGCGTATTTCAAACATTGCAAATATCAAACATTGCACAAACACGGAGAGGAAAACAATATTATCATTCGTTAACTCCTTCCCCAATGACTTACAGTCGAGCCTTCCCTGACAGTAACAGCTGTCTGTATGGAGCACAGACAATAATGTCTCTTTAGGAACGAATAAGTAAAAAGAATGGGAAAAAAATACGTCAGAATAAAAGAAAATACGAGTATACAAAAAATAAGGAAGGATAACGTGATTTCAAGAAAGAAAAAAAGAAAGAAAGAAAGAAAGAAAGAAAGAAAGAAAGAAAGAAAGAAAGAAAGAAAGAAAGAAAGAAAGAAAGAAAGAAAGACAAAGTAACAGGAAGGAAAAGAAGGACAGAAAGAAAGACTGAAAAAAGAAAGAAAGAAAACACAAGCCAGTGACTCACGCAGAAATACATGACTGATCTGAGCCAAGAAATAAATACATTATGACAGTTGACAAAATTCCATCGACTCACCGGGAAATATTGTCTCTCCTGCCTTCCACATCTTTTCTGCCGCTGGCCCTGTCAGAGGAATAAGAGGGGAAATTACTTGTCTGCTTGTTCGTTCGTTCGTTCATTCATTTGTTTGTTTATGCATTTGCTTGCTTGCAAGTTTGTTTGTCCGTTTGTTTGCTTGTTTGTCTTTTTGTTTGTTTGCTTGTTCGTCTGTTTGCTTGTTCGTCTGTTTGTTTGAGCAAAGAGAAGCACATCGACGTAATACTGATCATTTGATGCTGGGAAAAAGTAGTGTATTATCTGAGTAAATAGAAGCACTGGCACTTAAATGACCAAAATTGAGTCGATAGTGCCGTAAAACACCTACTCAATCAAATCAAATCAAAGAGAAGCACATCGACACAATATAATAATGGTTATCTAGTGCTTAGAGAAAGGGCAATGTTTTGATTGAGTAAAATTTATTGAATTAACGAAGATTACTTTGACTTTTTCCTTCCTCGCCTCTGGTTTCCATAGGATGTCGAGGGGAGGTTCAGGTTTCGGTCCTGTGCTAGGTGTGTAGCTTTCGGTCCCGTGCTAGGTGTATAGCGTCTGTCATAGATATGTTAGGTCTTCTATGTTGTTCCAGGACCTTTTTAACCCCATCCTACCAGGTCCTTCCTGGTTTTCCTCTTGATTTGAAGCTAGATTCTCGGGTGTTGTAAGTTCTTTCCGCTTGTGTTTCTAAGGCATTCTGTCCAAACCAGTTGACCATTTGACGCTCAACAAAATTTATTACTGGTGGTATTTCCGTTTGTAGGCGTATAACGGAAGTTAGGAAGGTCAGCAGAAAACCAGGGAAATTCAATATCTTTATTGACGGAACACGACTCTAAGTAGTAGAGGAATTCAAATAATATTTGGGAAACATCTTCACGGAAGATGGGCGCATAGACAAAGAGATAGAAACACGAACTAAGAAGGCAAATGAAATATTAATAGTAATTATAACAATAACAATATGCAATAAAAATAAGAAGAATAACTATAATAATAACAATAATGATAATAATAATATAAATAACAATAAAAATAATAACAATAACAATAATAATTTTGTATAGCTCATTTCCATCATATATTATAATATTATAGTGAGCTGTACAAGACATGCATTATGGCAGAAAAATACATACCTATATTTGATGGGAACAGTTTCACACCATAATGGTAATAATACCGTTTTTGGGCAGTGTGGAGTAAGCAGATAAAAGCCATGCTTTCTTGATCCTCATTTGTAAGTAGAGCATGATGTTATATGCTTTCTTCCGATTTTGCTATAAAAAGAGAAATTCTAAGCACCCTCTCCCCCCC